AGGGAGATGATGCCCTGCGCTTTGAGGACAATTACTCAGAAGCAGAAGCAGGTTGAAGGGCCTTGTCAAACTATCATTCGCAGCCTCATCTCCCTGTCCTTTCTAGCTCTCACGGTGAGCTTAATGCAACGCGGGTACTTCTAGGGGATATAGGAGTCTCCCAGACATCTGATACAGGCTGAGTAGCTGTCAAAAGCAGGCACTGCCTCGCAGCAAGTGTTGCACTTTTTAAACCCATGCAATGACGGCATAATAAATGTCTTGGTCTTTCCGAGGTTTCTTATGGTAACTAGTTCAGTCTTTTTTCTGTCTCCTCTTCTTCTTCTTCTTATTTTTTTTTTTTAAGAAAAGAGCTATTTAATACTAATATAACTATTTACAACAGGAAGAAAAGGGGGGATGAACTGAGTACTGAAAACTCAGAGGTATAAGTCTATAACTATTCGAAAAAAAATGTTTTTTTCTTTTTTTTTAAGAATTAACAAAGGAATAACAACTATGAAGGAAAAGAGTATAACTATAGAAAAAACAAGACAATCTCACAACAAGATGATAACATGAAGAGCGCAGGTCACTCCGTCTGCAGCCTGAGGCAGTCAAGAGGAACTGGCAGGGGCTGGACCATGCACTCAGAGAAAAGAGCACGAATGCCGCGAGACGCTGCGGCGCATGCGCGGTCCGCCCGGGTACTGCTTCCAGAAAAATCTCTGTCCAGTGGTGCCCGGGCATGCCCAGCACCCACAGTGGAGCACCCACAAGGACATCCTCGAAGAAGAACTGAAGCTTATTACACAAATTTTGTGACAGTCTTTGTTGTTCCACACTATTGCATACATTTCATTGAGTAACACTCAAGAACAGGTGACTTTTGAGCATTTGTTTTCCCCAAAGTATGGCAACCACAGGAGCTGCTGTCTGTTCTGCTGCTTTTCTGCTCTGTCCATGGCAGGAGGAAAAGAAGCAGATCCTGCCCTGCCCTGCCCTGCCTTGCCCTCACTGCTGTAAGGAGCAGCAGGGAAAGGAGCAGAATGCCGGCAGCTCCTCTGGCTGACATAGTGCTCCCAGCCACAGCTAGACGCCCAATTCTGTTCTCTTAAAGGGTTGCTGCTTTGCAGACAGAGCCAAGGAGAAGCAGCTCCATGGAGGGGCTGGAGGTGGTACGGTGTCTTTCTGATACACAGTACCAGCTATCAATAGCTGTCATGGTGTACTGAACCTTGCCAGTCACTTTCTTGCCCAGCGTACCAGGCTGTACCAATTCACTTTCACCACTGGATTTGGTCAAACTGAAATTAGCCCTGGCCAATTAAAAAGCGGAGATGGTTGAGGCTGAGGGCTTCAGTGATGGGCTCTCAAGTCACTCCCTAGCACCTTGGCACCAGACAGAAACTGAAGAGGATATTAGATTCAGACAGAAAGTATGGCTTGGAGATTTAGCCTCGATGGGTCTTCAACTCAAGTGATGCACATTTGTATTAAGGGGATGAGTTTTCACTTTTTTCACTGAAAAGAAAAGTTCAAAATCCTAAAATTTCACTGAAATGATAGTCAATATTTCAAGGGAAGTGAAATCCCATTGACTAAACTGGCCAAAAATTTCATGTGTTTGCCTGACAAGCTTTTTCTCTAACTTTACCGAATTCTCTTACTGAGATCTTGGCAAAATTACACCATTTATTAGGCTCAGGTATTCTACTTAAAAAGGAAAATACATCCAATAATACTGCAGTTCTTTTAAAAACAATATCAGTTAAACATTCGTCACCTCAGGCTTGATAGATACTTTTCCAGATTAATAATAATTTTCAAATGTTTAAAGTTAGGTCTGTAGCCAGTAAAATTGATTAATTCAACAATGCCTCATAAATGTTTCTAACTATGATTAACTCTTTATGACTATATTGTGAAAACACTTAGCCGTGGTCTACTCTAGGACCTTAGTCCAAAATAACGGCCCTAAGTTTGAATTAGTAAACCATGTGTCCATACTACCAAGCCCGTTATTTCAGAATAATCGGTTGTGGAATTCGAACTCTGTACTTCTGCTTTTTATCAGGGAATAACTCTAATTCCATACTTGTAAGTCTGAATTAACGTTAGTGTGGACACTCCAGTGCTGCTAATTTGAACTAATTGGCCTCTGGAGGCCTCCCACAGACATCAGCTCTGACTGCTCTGGTCACACCTGGCATCTCCACTGCTCTCCTCCTCCAGGACATCTGGAAGATTCCAGGCCACCTGAAAGTAGGTGCCAGTCCCAGTACCATTGCTGATCCTCTCTCCCCCATTTCAAGTTCTTTACACAGTCTGCTGTATGTCCTCCTCTGCTGTATGTTCCTTGAATAAAGATTCCAGTTTTTTCAACTGCGATGTCTTTGCTCTGTGATTATTTGCTCTGCAGATGCGGGGGAAGGTGTGAAGGGAGGGCAGGAAAACGGAAGGGTGGGGAATGAAAGGCACACACAGGGAATTCAGGGGCCCCTTGTTGAGAAGTATTGGGAAGAATCTCAGAACTGGCCTTGCATGAAACTGTCCTTCAAGGCCTCTCTGATGAGCACAGACCCTTGCTGTGCTCTCCTGATGGCACTGGTGTTCAGTTGCTCAAACTCCCTGGCCAGACGTTCTGCCTCTGTGCTCCCACCCTGGCAGAAAAGTCTACCCCTTGTTCTTGCACATGTTGTGGAGCACACAACAGTCCGCCTCTATGAAGGGGATGTTGTGCTCGCTTAGGTCCAGATGGGTGAGAAGACTCCTGAACCTCCCCTTTAAATGCCTGAAAGCACATTCTACTATCATTCTGCACCTGTCCAGCCTGGTGTTAAACTCCTCCTTGCTAGGTTCCAGGCTGCCTTTGTAGGGCTTCATGAGCCAAGAGATCAAGTGGTAGGCTGAGTCACCCAGGATCATGATGGGCATGTCCACCTCTCCAACTCTGATGACGTAGTCTGAGAAAAAAGAGCTGGTGTGCATCCTTCTGCAGAGGCAGGAGTTCCAGCAGATGCGGATGTTGTATGCCTTTCCTAACCTTTTGATGTTGATTTTGGTGAAGCATCCCTTGTGATCCATGAGCACCTGCAGCACCAGGGAGAAGTACCCCTTGTGGTTGATGAAATTGGAGGCACAGTGGTTGGGGAGCCATGATGGCAATGTGTGTGCCATCTATGTCCTCCCCCGACAGTAGGGGAAACCCATGGCAGAAAATCCAGCGACGATGCTGTCCGTTTTGCTCAGAGTGGCGACCCTCCATAGCAGGACGTGGTTGATGTCCTTGTCTGCTTGCATGAGCATAGCCATGACTGTGAGTTTCCCCACCTTGAACTGTTTCCCAACTGTTTCCAGAGTGGAAAGCTTCCACAGGTGATGACCATACACTTCTGCATGGGGACAGCAGATCTCATGCGGGTGTCCTGTAATCTGAGGACAGGGGCAAGCCACTTGCAGATCTTCAGGAAGGTGGCCTACCACATGTGGAAGTTCTGCAGCCACTGCTGATCATCCCATCGCTGCAGGACAATGTGGTCCCACCAGTCAGTTTGTCTGGTCTCCACCAGAAGTGGTGTTTCACAGTGTCCAGGAGATATAGGGGTGTGCACAGCAGCAGGAGCACCAAGACTTGGCTAAGCAGGGCCTACTGGCCATGCTGGGGTTCATTCTCCTTGTCCTGTTCATGGTGGAGCTACATGCGGGCACTATCAGTGCAGCATGAGAGCCATGAGCATGATACTGCTTTTCAACAGCTCTGTCTCTACGGTCACTGTGCTGTGGCACATGCCCACTGCTTCCCTTTTCTGTTCCTCAATGGGGGAGGGAGTGGAGAAGTACCTTGTGAGATGCAGGCATAGAGAGGAGCCCCTGTAAGTACCTGTCTCAGTTTGCAGGAACAAGCAGCCAAAGGAAGTATCTGCCCTCCTGGCATCCTCCCCAGAGTACTTCCAGGGGCTCTAATTCCAAGTCGGGCTCTGTTAAATGCGGACACACTATTTTGAACTAATTTCGAGGCTTCCCCATATGCAAGTTCGAATTTGTTAAATCAGGAGTTCATAAATTGAATTCGGTAATCTCAAAATAGTTTCCTAGAGTAGACATGGCTATTCAGTTTGACTATTCATGTGGATATGAGAGTAAATGATCACTAATGGGAGCAGTGATTGCACTAGCTAATCTTTAATTACCATATTTAAGAGCTTGGTGTGGCTCCATGCTGACCTCAATGTTTATTTCTTTAATTTATTTTAGAAATTATTTCTTGATAATTAAAGTTAGTCAGAAGCAATGTATTTAAAATGCTTTGGAAAATAAAATGCAATTTTTATTTCCGTTCACATTTTTCTGTGATTTTTTTATGTTTATAAAAAGGTTAAAGATTTTTGACTGTCAAAAACAAAAAGTAAAAAAAAAAAATAGCAAGAAAATATAAATTTTCTTGGGAAAATCCATTTTTAAATTAAGGAAAAATTTCACAACTATTTTACTGTATCTATTTTTTCTGTTATAGTAGTATTCATATTAGTTGTTAAAGGACTCACTCCTTCCTCCGGAAGTAATCCTACTGTGCACACATCGCCACAGCTAAGCTCCTAATGAAGTCTTCTGTGTGTTGCAGGGATGTTTTTGTTCAATATAAAAGTCATTAATAAAACCTTAGTGCCAAGATACACAGTGAACCTAACTGTTAACTAAGGTAAACTCAAAGATGATTAAACTTAGCAAGTTGAATTATAAATATGTTTGTGTTTATGTGTAAGAAGTTGCCAGGCTGGTTTAAATCTTCACAGGATATTTACAATTTAATCAAGCCTGTCTTTCTCACTTCTATACATATATTTTTCAGTTTTATGCCCCGTGCATATATTCAGAAAATTTATCAAAAGGGCAACACTATTCCAATGATTCACTGTCTGACTTAAATTGCTTTACAGGAAACAGCAATATAATAGGTTAGGAGTTTTTTTTTAAAACTTTTTCAAACTGATTTTTAATTAAACTACACTGATACATACCCTGTCAATTTTCCCTTCTGGTTGAACGCTGGAACGGCTGCGTGAGTCATAGTCTTCTTCAAGGTCCGACACATCTTCCAGTTCCTCTGGCGTCTAAGAGAAGAGCATGACAAAGATGATTTCATTCTGTTTTATGGTTAGGCAACTGTAGTATTAGATATCAAAAATATATTAAACCTGTCGGCAATGTCCACTTAAAAGAACAACACAAATCACTTTGCAGAGCCACGCAAAGTAAGAACAACACAAATCACTTTGCAGAGCTGTGCTAAATGTAAATGTTAAACACATAATCTGAAAAAAATTGATTATATTATGATAGTCATCCCATGGTAGTGGGTTGTATTTTGGAGAAGACATGGTAAAGTTGTTTGTGTTTACATGTATTCTAGTCTGACATTATTGCTACTAGAAATGAATATTACAAAGAATCTCTACATGGTCAGAGATGGATGAGATTTAGCCGGAGTTTTCACTAATAACAGAAAAAAGATCAATTTCTCATCACTTCAAATAAATATTTGTACATGGCTTCTCATTAAGTGCTACATAAGGAACAGAGAATTGCCATATTAGATCAGAACAGTGGCCTATATGGCCCAGTAGCCTGCTAGGGACAGTGTCCACATTTCACTTCCTAAAGAGGAAGGTAAACTGTTAGGAAATAACTTATCAAAGAGGAATGTTCTTTCTAACCCTCCCCTCCTCATTGGTTGGTTTATGCCCAGAAACATGAGGGTTTGTATCATTTACTTCTCTTTTTAAATAAACGTTATTATTGTATATAATGTAACTCTATGTGTTCTCATTCTCTAACTAAATTTCCAACACTTTGTGCAATCTGCTGAACTTTTGGATTCAGAGATACAAAGTGGAATGGGTTAATTATGCACTGTGAGAAAAAGCAATTCTTGTTTTCAGTTTTTAATTTGTCGTCTTTCAGTTTTATTGACTGTCTCCTAGCTTCTGCATTATTAGAAAGAGCTAATAGGAGACCTCAGTTTCACATTTCTGGAGGATTCATTTTTTACAGTGCTACAGATTCCCTTTTATTCATCTCATCTGTAATCTAAATAGGCCCACCATTTTTACGAAGAACTCCAGTTACCTACACAGGTGAGTAAGATTCCCTTGTAGTGTATGTGGCCATACAGGTATGTATGGTATATATTACCTTATAGCCAAGCATAATGAGATTATATATATATATATATATATACACACACATACACCCTTTCACCTTACAGACTAACAACTTTATTTGGGCATAAGCTTTCATGGGCTTCATCAGATGCATGAAGTGGAAATTCCATTTGGCGGACATATATACATACATACAAAAATGAAAGTGTTACATTACTATGGGTAGAACCAGTGTTGTTGAGGCCAATTCAATCAGGGTGCATGTGGCCCAACACTTGATAAGATGGTGAGAATACCTAAAGAGAAAAATTACCTCCTGAGGTCTCTTCCAGCTCTCTGATTCTATGATAACCATTCTCAGAAAGTTGTTATTAATGGTTCCCAGTCGTACTGCAAGGACATAACAAGTGGGATCCCTCAGGGGTCTGTTTTGGGACTGGTTTTGTTCAATAACTTCATCAGTGATTTAGATGATGGCATAGAGAATATACTTATTAAGTCTGCAGATGATACCAAGCTGGAGGTGGTTGCAAGTGCTTTGGAGGATAGCGTCATAATTCAAAATGATATAGACAAACTGGAGAAATGGTCTGAGGTAAGTAGGATGAAGTTTAATAAGGATGAATGAAAAGTACTCAGGAACAATGAACATCACACAAACAGAATGGGAAGCGACTGTCTAGTAGGGAGTACTGCAGAAAGGATTTAGGGATCATATTGGACCACAAGCTAAACATGAGTCAACAGTGTAATGTTGTTGCAAAAAAGCAAACATGATTCTGGGATGCATTAACGGGAGTGTTGTGAGCAAGACACAAGAAGTCATTCCTCCACTCTACTCTGCACTGTTTAAGCCTCAGTTGGAGTATTATGTCCTGATCTGGGTACCACATTTCAAGAAAATGTGGAGAAATTGGAGAAGATCCAGAGAAGAGCAACAAAAATTATTAAAGGTCTAGAAAACATGACCTATGAAGGAAGACTGAAAGAGCTGTGCTTGTTTAGAAAAGAGAAGACTGAAGAGGGACATGATAGCAGTTTTCAGGTATCTATGCGTGCGTCTACATTGCACCGTTATTTTGAGATAACTAGCGTTATTTCAAAATAAAAATGTGAGCTTTATACAGCCATCCCGTTATTTCAAAATAATTTTGAAATAACAGATGGCCTGTTCAGAAAATTTTAAACCTCATTCTATGAGGACTAATTTTGAGGCTTCCCTGTAGTGTAGACATGCTATTTCGAAATAAGATATTTCAGAATAACTATTCCAGAATAATTTAGTTTGAAATAAGTGTGTAGTGTAGACATACCCTAATAGGGTGTTTCAGGGAGGAGGGGGGAAATTATTCTCCTTGGCCTCTGATGATAGGAGAAAAAGCAAGGAAGGTTTGGGTTGGACATTAGGAAAAACTTCCTAACATTCAGGGTGGTTTAACACTGGAATAAATAGGTTGTAGGATTTCCATCAGTGGAGATATTTAGGAGCAGGTTAGACAGACATCTATCAGGGATGATCTAGATGATGCTTAATCTTTCCATGAGGGCTCTCGAGGTCCCTTCTAGTTTTAGTATTCTATAAGTCTATGATTCTAAATATGACCAACTGTTTAGACAAATAGAATTATAAAGCCTATATAAGTCTATGATTCTAAATATGACCAACTGTTTAGACAAATCGACATAAAGCCTGGAGCTTTTAAAATAAATAACAGATGAGTGGGTATTGTTACCCAGAATGCTCAGAGAATAAGTCATATGTTGTGAAACTAAGATTTTTATGGACAGATCTGCATTCAAGAAAAAAACACTACCACAGTTAGAACTAACTGAGACCTTAGCATGCAGTCTTTGTAGGGAGTTCATGAAATGAAGAGAATAAAAAATAAACTACTATCCAACTCCCCAAAATTATATTGGCTGGATAACAAAGTCATCATAAAGCTATTCAAATAACTAATTTTTGGTTTGCTGTCAGTTTTGAAAAACTGAAAAAACAGTTAATTTGGGGTTAATTTGAAACAATATTTTTAATTTGTCTTTGATGATCCAAAACATATAAAAGTTGAATGACATTTCATGTTCACTTCAAGCTTTCGTAAACTCAATAAAAGTGAAAGAAATTTCAAAATGACAAGTTTCAAACTGAAACATTTAACCATTACATTTTCAACATGTAAAAAAATGGGGGTTTATTTTTTTCAACAATAACAGTAACAAAAAGTTGATATGGATTCAGAAAATGTCTTGATTAATCTAAATCTTCATTTTCTGCCCCCACCCCTTCAAAAAAATTTTGGCCATTTTTTGCCATATCTAGTCTGTCCTGATCTGGTTTTAAGATTCATAACAACCAGCCACAGCTAAAATATTTCTCCCAGTCTAAAGTTATCATATTTCTTCTCCTAGTGAAACACAATATATTGGACTTATTTCATTACATTAAGTACAGAAACCTATTGTAGATCTTTTAGATTTTTCTTAATATTAGTTAACATTTTATCTATCTGGTGACTATACAATTGAACTCGTGGTAGAAAGACAGCATGGCTTTATTAACAAAAGAAATAAACGTTTATCTATATAATGTTTGACAGTCAAACATTTCCCAAATAGATTTTCTGTAAATGATGTGAAATATATAGAAAATGTGGTGGTATGGCACGAAGGTTTTACTGACATGAACTTGAAATGGTCTCATTTCTCACATGTGAGCTATTTAAGTTATCTCAAATGACTTTCAAGAAAGCCTTTCAACCACACCAAACCATCATATATTCTCTCCATTCCACACATTTTACAGAAAGATTATTTCACAAATATTTGAGAGTTTTTCAAAATGTTATTGGTGCTATTTTTCATTTTTCTCTTCCTCTAAAGCCAAACTAACCAACTATGAAAAGCATAAGGGTACAGTCCTTGGAGGATCAAGGGGAGAGGGAAATGACATTTCTTTAAGAAATCTCTAAATAAAATATACCCTGAAATAGGTTTGCCATACATTATGATGTCACACTTCAGATCCTTTCTGCATCTTGTGGGATGCATAAGGGCTAGAAGCAAAAGATTGTAATCCTTGGACTGGAAGAAGGAACATTTCTAGCTTTCCAATGGTCCTGACTGTATGTTAGAAGCTTTGCAAAGGGATCCAGCCTCAAGTTCTCTTGTATGTCTGAGGAACACTGAATGACTTTGAGTCCCTCCCTAACCCTGGAGTTTGTCCAGCTCTCTTATTTGTTCCAGCATAAATATCAGCCTTCAGGCTGATCTAATGTATTCTGTCAACTGACTCCCACAGCCCTTCCAACATCTAGTATTAGCTGGGCATAAAGGTTCCCTGGCCCAAGTTTCCTTTTTTTTATAGCCAAAGAATATGCTATAATAGTTCTATGACACGCGAGGATTAGTCCTCTGTACAAGCCACTTCCTCCAGTGTCCAGACCTGACAGGTTTAGGACTACTTTGCACTGTCGGAGAGGCACAAAGCTGAATCAGTGACCCAGTTCCTGCACTAATGGGTTGCAAGTTATCAGAGCTTAAACTTGTCACTAGTCCAGGCATGAATATTTTCCCCTTACAAAAAGTCTTATTTTGGGTGCAAATTTCTACATATGATAGAAAGCAAAGGAAACATTTGTTTAATAACCCCCAAGCCAATTATATTTATTACATGGTTTTATCATTTTTCATATTGTTTTCATGACCAAGTATTTTGTATACAAAATACATGCACACATACCTACTCATGCACAAACACATAGTTACTTTTTTCTGTAAACACAATGCTTGGAACAGTATTTAGGATTAATATTTCCTAAATATTGCCAAGGGAGAAGCGGTGGATGTCATATACCTAGACTTTAGTAAGGCATTTGATACGGTCTCGCATGATATTCTTATTGATAAACTAGGCAAATATAACTTAGATAGGGCCACGATAAGGTGGGTGC